AACCCACCTACAAATTGCTGGACCAGGAAAATGCATGCCACTAAAAAATAAGCATCTGTGGGGCTGGGGATATGGCTTAGTGGTAGAGCATTTGCCTAACATGCTCAAAGTCATTGGTTCAATCTCCAGAGCAGCAAAAAAAAAAAAAAAAAAAAAGAAAAAGAAAAAGAAAAAAAAAAGGTGATAGCTCAATATCCATAAGATTTTATAAGGGGGATAAATAACATGAAAAAGAGCTATAAAATTGACAAATGCATGTATATGAAAAACATTCACAAGAAACAATGTTGTTACAGAACAGATAAAAATGCTGACCACACCTCCACCATGGGGTAAGATTCTTAATGGAACTACACCTTTGTGTGTGGGAAAACTACAGAACACACAGGCAGGAACCCATACACTGATAAGTTTCTTCTTTGGCATTTTTGCTGCACTATCTTTATACTAAGAATGTCCTTCTCATCCAAATAACATAAAAATACACACCAATTTCTACTTTTATTTATCACTTCAATGTTTACTCTTAGAAGAAATATACCTTTTGTTTTTTTTTTTCATACCACAACTGTATTTGGGGATGAGAAAATGGGCATCTCCAAAGGAAACATGCTGCACACTTATTTGATAGAAATTCTCTAGTAGTTTGATACATCATTTATATTTAGTGTGGAATCCACATGCAGCTTCTTCACCAAGCTTCTTGCTCCATCAGGAGAATCCAAGAATGTTACAGATGGCCTATAGCCTATCATTGCACATCTCTCTATATGCTCACTGTCAGGGAGGTTGCAGATTCTCCAATAAGTCCAATGTTAGACTTAAAACTGAAGGGGATGTGGCTCAGTGGTTGACTGTCCCTGATTTTAATCCCTGGTACCAAACAAAACAAAACAAAAAAAACACTGAAGGTGCTTTGCTTCAGATCAATATAACTTAAAAAAGCAAATTTTTACAAGTAGGATAAATTTGTGTCATTGTTTTATGCCATTTTAATAAATAGTTGTTATGTTATTTTTGTACCTACTATGATTTTTTTTTGCTTAAAACTACAAATTTCTAATCATACTATTGTTATTGAGGTGAGTTAGGGATTATATAATCTATTACAGGAATTCCAGCATAGAAAACAGTTAATTTTAAGTTATTTAAGTAACAGGGATTGAACCAGTGGCTTAGCACATGCTAGGCAAACACACTGAGTTAAATCCCCAGCACTTTTCTAAATTTTATTTTGAGACAGGATCTTTCTAATTGGTGAGGCTGTCCTCAAATTTATGATTCTCATGCCTCAGCCTCTTGGAGATTACAGGCATAGACCCATGCATCCATCTTCAAAGTGATTTTATTTATTATTATAATTATTTTGGTACTGGGGATTGGACCCAGGGGCACCTTACCAAAGAGCTACATTCCATTCTTTTTTGTATTTTTAAAAATTTTGTGACTGGGTCTCACTAAATTGCTGAAACTTGTCTTAAACTTGTAACCTTCTGCCTCAGCCTCCCAAGTTGCTAAGGGTAAGGTATGCACCACCACACCTGGATCAAGTAATATTCACAAAAACTTTTTATATATATATATTTTTAGTTGTTGATAGAACTTTTTGCTGAAAATCGAACCCAGTGCCTCACACATGCTAGGCAAAAGCTCTACCACTGAGCCACAATCCCCAGCCCCTACAAAAACTTTTTATTAGAGAAATTTACACAAAGTAAAACAAAGCCCATCCCTTTGTATACACATACTCAACATTCACATTAAAATTATCCATAATTCTAACATTTTATACCTTTATTTTGTTTATTTTATTTTTTTTTATGTGGTGTTGAGGATAGAACCCAGGGCCTTGCACATGCCAGGTGAGTGCTCTATCAATGAGCCCTAACCCCAGCCGAATTTTAACATTTTTAGAAAACATTTAATTAATTGCTTAAGTGCCTAGCTATTTCTAAATCTGCCTTTCCTCATTTAGAACTCAAAAAACACCTTCAAGAGGCTACAGTAGGAGGACTTAAAGTTGAGTCTAACCTAGGCAACTTACCCAGTACTGTCTCATAACCTAAAAAGGGCTGGGGTGATGCTCAGTGGTAGAGTGCTTGCCTAGCATGACTGAGACCCAAGTACTAAAAAACAAAAACAAACTCCAAAACATCTAATGATGGAGGTCAGAAATCACTGTAAAACCAATGAAGCTTACTTTGATGGATACCTTTGAAAAAACGGGCCATAGCATTATATTCTCACAAATTTGTGCTAAATTTATAAAAATAAGATATTTCAACCATAACCACTAAAGACTGCTGTCTCTTTCTATGTCATATGTCAACTGCCTGTTCTTCATACTTTCCCCTCATGTTATGACCCTGGAGTACACAGTAGGCATTTCCAAGATCTTGTTAAGGGCTGGACTGCAATATGTTTTTGTGCTTTGACATCTCTTCCATGTATAGTTACACTATTACTTGCCATCTCACTATAGAATGTCCCCTAGCAATACTATGATCAATTCAGAGAGTATTTAAGAGCAGTCACACAACAGAAAACATGAAATACCCTGATATCTTACAGCTCAGGTATGAAAGACACACCATAGAAGTTTCCCTGAATCTGACAATTCTAAAAACTACATTGAATTAGAAATAAAGAGTTGAGAATTTGAAACTTCTGTAGACTATCAAAAATAAAAAGCAATTTTCCATTAACTATTCTAGAAGATACTCTAAATTATCCTTCTATTCCTCTATAAAAAATGAGTTATAAAATCAAGTGTATGTACATCAAAAGTAGAGGCGGGGTTGTGGCTCAGTGTAGAATGCTTGCCTAGCACATGTGAGGCACTGGGTTCAATTCTCAGCACCACATAAAAAAACAAATAAATGATGACACCATGTCTATCTACTACTAAAAAATTTTTTAAAAGTAGAAAAAAATATTATGGTGGTATAAATTATTAAAAAATCATATATCTTTCTCCTCTATATTTTATAATATTAATTTTTAAATCTTATGAAGCTTATTTCCTTCATGTAAATAAATATTTCAATTGTACATGATTTGGTGTGTTTGTAATTTTGTGGGGTTTTTTCCCCTAAAATGGGTGCCAAATTCAATAATCAATAGGCCCCACAAAACCTGGAACCACTCATGACATAATTATTATTATCCTCATTGAAGGATGAACAAATTGAAGTTCAGAGCTATCAACTAACTTTCCAAAGTTACCTAGATATTAAAAGATGGGCCATGCACCATGGTGCATGCCTGTAATCCCAGTGGCTTGGGAGGCTGAGGCAGGAGAATTAAAAGTTGAAAGCCAGCTTCAGCAACTTAGTAAAGCCCTAAGCAACTTAGCAAGACCCTGTCTCAAAAATAAAAAGGTCTGGGGATGTGGCTTAGTGGTTAAGCACCCTTGGGTTCAATCCTTGATACCACACATACACACAAAAAGGTGGACTATGATTTTAAAAATCACATTTTCAGGGCTAGTAATTTAGCTCAGTGGTAGAATGCTTGCCTAGCATGCCTTGGGTTCCATGGATTCCAAGCATCAAAAAAAAAAAAAAAAAAAAATTCAGTCTCCAAGACATTAAGATAGGAAATACAAAGAATTATATAGCATTGGTTATCTGTTCATTAAAAAAAATAAAAACTTATGACTATTGAAATCATAATCTCTTGAAATATGGTTTCACTACATATAAAATAAGGAGGTCCTATTAGATCATCTTTAAATTGCCTTTTCATAACTAGGCCAATGGGAGCTACCTGAGCTCAGTACTGGCTGGAGGAAACAGCTACTTAACTCTAAGTTTATAGTAAACATTGAATACAGTTATCTTAAAGGAAGTGGAGAGCCAGTGAAAGATTTTCAGGAGAGGAACATGATAGATCTCATAGACTGGCTATCATCCATTCCCAATTTTTTCTCTCTTACCTATCTCTACTATTGAAGCTAAGGAAGGTAGAAGTTCACATCCCAAGTCTCCCTTGCGATAAGGATGGTCATGCTAATACAACTCTGGCCAGTGTTTTCCTACTTGGAAAAGCTTCTAACAAAGCTTTTGATTTCCTGATTCACACAGGACTTGCTCCACCTTTTACCATGCTGGCTTAAATCAAGCAGGTCTAAAACTATGTCACCTATCCTGCCATCTTTCCCATGAGGAAAAGACCAAAATCCTCCCAATGACAATATTAAACTACTCAGAAAAAAAACCCACAGCCATCTCCAAATTTCTTGTTATACAAGGTTATAAGTCCATTTAAGTGATTTAAGTTGGGTTTTCTGTTGAGTGAATATCTTACTGCCTAATAAAAGTTATAAGAAAGCTGGGTGTGGTGATATATGTATGCCTGGTTTGTAATCCCAGATACTCTGGATTTGCAGGCAGGAGGATTGCAAGTTTGAGGCCAGTATGGGCAACACAGCTAAAAAAAAGTTAAAAGAATAAATGTGGGCTGGGTATGCCTGGCATATGGGAGGCCCTGGATTCAATCATTAGCACCATACAAAAGTATAAATGTGTAATCTAGAATGGCCATTCTCATCTTTCTGTAGAGGATAGATTAAGAAATGTCAAGAATGAAGGCAGGGAAGCTTGTTAGGAAGCTATTATAGTACTCTAAGAAAGAAAACCAAGAGTGTGGATAAGATAACTACAGTGGGAGAAGTGGAAGAGACACAGCAAGCTGGATGAAGAAGTTTGCAAATGTTTTCTCTTTCTAGTTTGAGTGACAAGAAGGTGGTTGAGCCATTCTCTACAGCAGATATACGAAGGGATTGATGAATTCAGCTTTGGGTATATTTACTTTGAATTGCCTATGGAATGAGATTGTGAAAATGATGAAAAGATGGTTGGCTATGGATCTTAAAGTCAGAAGTAAGGTCTAGATTGCAGAAACTTGGGTTTGATAAATACCATATAGAATAGTGCTGACCAACAGAACTACAATGCAAGCAATTTATGTACTTCTAAAGTAAAACTAAATACGTAAAATTAATTTTAATATTTTATTTAACCCAATGTATCTAAATTTCAACATATTATCAACATAAATTAATGTGATAATTTACATACTAAGTCTTTAAAATGCAATGTGTATTTTACACTTAAAGCATATATCAATTCCTCCAAATGCCTTTTTTCATCACGAATACTTGATCTGTGTATAAATTTCATAAAGTCACAAGTGAAAAAGTAGAGTCACATACTCAAATTATTCCAAACAGTTATTCTTTTACTTTAGTTTTCATATCCATGCTGAAAAAAATCCCTTTTTATTTTATGTTTTAAAAATATTTATCTTTTAGTTGTAGTTGCACACAATACCTTTATTCCATTCATTCATTTTTCCATGATGCTAAGGATTGAACCCAGGCCCCTGCATGTGCAAGGTGAGTGCTCTACCGCTGAGCCACAATCCCAGCCCATCCTTTTTAAAAAAAAAAAAAAAAAAAAAAACAGTAAGATTTTGGTTTATATTTTATGGATGCTGCTGCTGCTGTTTCAACTTTATAAAGCTGTCTGCTTTCCAAATTCCAAAAGATCCCCATACTAACCAGTGCCCTTTAGTTTATTTAGGACAAGAAGGATGAAAGGGTTTTCGTGATGGAAGTGCCATTTTTATTTTGGGACTTTTCATGTACAAATCACAAAGTGGATGAGCACTTTATGGAAGTTTAAATATTATGCCCTAGCCAAATTAATGTATTTTACCCACCCTTTTGGGGAGAGAAGACCCATGCCTATAAAACTATTTCACTTGACAGGATGTTTCTACCCACAATAAGTAACTTCAACAACTTCCAACAGTAAGGTGTCACTTGGCTTCTTTTTTTCTTTTGGTACTGGGGACTGAACTCAGGGGCACTCTGCCTCTGAGCCACATTCCCATCCCTATTTTGTATTTTATTTAGAGACAGTGACTCACTGAATTGCTTAGCACCTTGCTTTTGCTGAGGCTGGCTTTGAACTCAAGATCCTCCTGCCTCAGCCTCCAGAGCCACTGGGATTATAGGTGCGCACCACAGCGCCTGGCACATTTGGCTTTTAACATGGGAAAATCACATAGGCTAAAGGTAAAAGTTAATTTTCAAAAACAAATAAAATTCAGTCTATAGGTATGAATATATACCATTCATCTTTTTAAAAATAACTGATTTGACTTCAGACCAAAAGCATTATCACTTTGAAACCATTTGAGTAAATTCAATAAATTTTACGCCAATTTAGTATTAACACTGATTTCAGAGTTGGCTGAATAAATTGAAAAGCAACTCTAAATACATCAATAAAGGAGTTTTCAAAATTTTCTTGTGGTTTTTGTAGTAAATTTCCATAACACTTTCAAATACATTTAAAATCTTGTACACATTGGTTCATGTTAAAACAAACAAACAAACAAACAAACATGTGCTAGGCGTGATGGCACATGCAGCTTAGAAGGCTGAGACAGGAGGATTGTAATGTAAGTTCAAAGCCAGTTTAGCAAAAAGTGAGGCACTAGGCAACTCAGTGAGACCCTGTCTCTAAATAAAATACAAAATAGGGCTGGGGATGTGGTTCAGTGGTCGAGTACCCCGAGTTCAGTCCCTGGAACCCCCTCACTAAAAAAAAGTGTGGGCTGGGAATATAGCTCAGTGGTAGAGTGCTTTGTTAGCATGTGTAAAGCCCTGGGTTCCATACCCAGTATTATATATACACACACACATATAAGTAAATAAGATAGATATATAAATAAAATTATTTGCCAGGTACAATGGTATAGTACTTTAATCCTATTGACTCCAGAGACTAATGCAGGAGGATCACAAATTTGAAGCCAGCCTCAAAGTGAAACCCTGTCTCAAAATAAAAGTAAAACAAGAGTTGGGGATGTAGCTCAGTAGTAGAGTAGCTAGGGGTTCAATTCTCAGTGACACACACACACACACACACAAAAAGAAGAATAAGAAAAAGTGTAAGATTCTTACTAATTTTCATTGTTTAAAGATTTGATTTCAATGTAAATTCTAGTATTTGTCTAGTTAAAAAAACAAAGTTTTTTTCCCTAGCCTTAGAACTTCAAATTTAGATCCTTCATATGCCATGTGATATTGGGGAGAAAACAAAACTACCATTTCTGTTCTTATTAAGTATTCTCCTCCCATTTCTGTTTCAAGAAAATCCTGAGCTGAAGTTAAAAGTACATTAAATTTTGTATAACTCTTCCACAATTTCACCAACTGGTAGAGCATGTAAGATCACTAAATTCATTGCCCTAATTCATTGCCACTCTGTCTGCATTTGTGAACAACTACTTAAATGTTCTATAACACTTGTCATAGAACCCATTTCAAAAAACTGAGCACAGGGACTGGAATCGTGGCTCAGCAGTAAAGCGCTCGCCTAGCACGGGTGGGACCTGGGTTCAATTCTCAGCACTACATAAAAAAAATAAAGGTATTGTGTTGTGTCCATCTACAAAAAAGATTCATATTCTCTCTCTCAAAAAAAAAAAAAAAAGAAACAAAATGAGCACAAGTTGGGTATCGTGGTGCACACCTATGATCCCAGCTACTCAGGAGATTGAGACAGGATGATTGAAAGTTTGGTATCGGCATGGATAATTTAGCAAGACTCTGTCTCGAACTACAAAGGGCTGGGGAATATAGTTCAATGGCCAAGAGTACCACTGGTTCAATCCCCAATATCAAAACACAAAACAAAAAATTGAGCAAAAATATTTTCACACTGCATCATGCAATAGAACAAAGAAATAAGGAAGCTGGGCATGGTGGCACACACCTGCAATCTAAGCAGCTCAGGCTGAGACAGGAAGATTATGAGTTCAAAGCCACCCTCAGCAATGGTGAGGTGCTAAGCAACTCAGTGAGACCCTGTCTCTAACAAAATACAAAACTGGACTGGGGATGTGTCTCAGTGGTTGAGTGCTCCTGAGTTCAATTCAATCCCTGGTATTAAAAACAAAAACAAAACAAAACAAAAAAACAGAAAGAAATAAGGAAAACACCAGGCTTATTCTTTGGCTCTGTGTGTGTGTGTGTGTGGTGCTGGGTGTTAAACCCAAGGCCTCTTGCATGAGAGGCAAATGCTCTATTACTGAACCACATCCCTAGCCCCCATCAGGCTTATTTTGAAATTCCAAAGAAATACAATTTTTTACCTCACCTAGCCAGAGTGTTCTTTATTGTGAAAGTTTTTTTTTTTTCCCATCTAGTTGAAACTCCCATCATGGCACATGCGTGTATTAAGAAATTCATTTTGAAGACTCAGCTTACATGGCCACATAGACAGAGAAGTCTAAAACCCCAAGAACAGGTGGAGCTGGAGGGTTGGGCCGTGTTGGATGCTGCATGACATATGTAAAAGACTAAAAAAACAGCTGCATGATTATTTTTTAGGTTATGAATTTAAATTACTTCCTTATAATTTTTAAGTCCTATGAGATAAAATATACTTAGGATTATTAATTGGGAAGTGTCTCTTATATACTCACCTAAAGCTATCTGCAACTTTTCAGATTTTCAATCAATCTTTGATACTGTTAGGTACATACTGTATAAGCAATTGATGGCTTAACTGAAGGCCCTGCGTGCCTGTCTCAAGTACTGGGAATCAAACCCAGGGACATTTTTACCACTTAGCTACATTCCCAGCCCTTTTTGTTTTCAGACAGCGTCTTGCTAAGTTGCAGAGGCTGGCCTCAAACTTGTAATCCTCCTGCCTCAGCCTCCCAAGAGGCTGGGATTACAGGTATGTGATGGTGCCCAGCTCCTGCATGTTTTTATAAACTATCTTAGGTTTTGCTCGTAATTTTCTAACAATTTCTACAACTACATAATTTACTATTAATCCATCTAAAAACTAGTTCTCTTTAATGCAAGAATTCAAGCTGTTTTAAATTCATCAGGCCAAACTTAAAAGCTCAGATCCTATAAAAATTGTTAAAAATTTGTCTTGTTAGACATTTAATTCTGATTTCAGATGACTAATTTTATTTTTTAATTGATACATAGGAGTACATATCTGTGAGGATACAATGTGCTAGTTTAATTCTTTTTTTGACCTTAGAAAGGTAATTTATCTAATTCATTTTGCACTTTCTGAATACAAAGTAGATATGAATACATTCATATCTAATTTTTTCTTAATTATCAGCTTGCTTTTCTGCCATAGCAAACTGCAATTGCCATTCATCATGAAATCTGCAATATACCTTCTTCCAGTTTCTTTTTGTTAGCTGTTACTGATATACTAGCTTCTCCATCTCTACTTATTGTTTTTTCAGTATGTCTTCATTTTAAATTTAAAAATTTGTTGATATTCATGTGAAAACTAGAAAAATAATTATAATCAAAATAAGCATTTCAATTTAATCAGCAATTGATTTACATAAGTATCACTATAATTCCTGTGGTCTGCATAATACGTTCAGGAAAAACATGGTATAATGTTACATCATTGTAGAAAAAATAATTTGCATTGATCTGTCTGTTGTCAGACTTAATTAGTGATATGTTTATATGTAATATTAGAAATGATACAGAAGTTTGACAAGCATACTAAAATCATATTTTATGCAAGGTAACAAAGGGAAATGTATTCCCAAAAAAGTTATGCAGAAAAATATTTTATGTTGCTTCAGTTTTTACAAGATTAAAATTAAGTAATTCTTACTTCCTTAGTCCTAACGAACTCAACTCAAGTGTCTAATTGTCAGTCAGTCACTGAAGCTAGTGGCTACAATACTGTATAGTGCAGGTATAAAAATGAGAAAGACTAGAGCCAAAAGGCTTAGTTTTTATCCCATTTCTCTTTTATTTGATAAAACCTTCAAGGTTTAGAACTTAGATGTGAGTCACTTATTTTTTTTTTGTATTCTTATTTAATATAAAACAGTGCAAAAAGTGTAAATGGTTGGAAGTTCTATATAAGACTTTTTGGAATATATAATGACCCATTCTAGCAGACATGGGTCAAACTCTAAAAATCTACAGTTCTAAAAAACAATTATCATCAGCTTTATCTCTTTAAAGAATGTCATTTAAACAGCAAAATGCTGATAATAGTTTAACTGGCTTTCAAAAACACTTTTAAGTATGTAAAGGATGTGTGGCACAAAACTTACAAATGATAAAAACATAAAGGATATTTTTTACTGAAAGTTTCTTATAGCCAGCTAATTCTCAGAGAAGACCTTTGTTGATTTTTGCCGAACTCTTGTATCTGTGGCCAATCTATGGTTGCAATTTGACCAAGATTTTACAAATGGAGTTGCATCCCAATCTGCTAATTCCTTCCCCAATAAATTTATTGTCATTAAATCAGATATGTGATCTATTGTTAAACTATTTCTCACCCTTGTACAAATTATATTCATCAAACTGAAACCTCTTTCAGCTTCAGCATTATTGACTGCGATAGTGCTAACTATCTTCTTAGCTTTTTGTATAGTTGTAGGAATTGAAACATTATCTGATTTTATATTATTATTTATAAATTCCTGAAAATCATTCAAATCAATTTTGTATTTTAAAATTTCACACAAATGAGATAATTTTTTTTCACCAGCTGTCCATGGTAAAGTCATTTCTTCATAAGGCCATGTGGAAGGTTCTAGCAAATCAAAATAATTAAAAATACTTTCATCATGGTTTCTATCAGAAAAAAGGCGTAAGTTCATGTGTTGAATTATATTTTCTAGCAACATATTCCTAGGAAGAGCATTAAACTTATTATTCTTACTAAATGGAATATCTCTAAACTTCTCTGACTTAATCAAATCTTCAACCTGTGATTCATATTTTCCAGTATCAATTTTTAAATTTTCCAAAGCTCTTATGGTTCGTTTGATCAATTTTTGTGCTTTCTGAATATTAGTTGCTCTTGACTGTAATGCAGTTGAAAGCAGGGAAAATTCTTCAAGAATGTCAATCATCAAAGCAAGGTCTTGTAAAAAATTAGTATTAGCTAATCTCTCTGCCAAACCAGAATAAGAATTAGAAAAATGCATATATAATACAGGATATGCATGCCATACAGCAGTAGCAGCTTGTAAACTACATGCAGCCCATCTTGGTCCCATTACCCGACCAATTTTAATAATTTCAATTTCAAGGTCTTTAGCTACAGATCCTATTAGCTTGGTTTGATTTGTATTAGATTGATGATAAAGAGAATAAATTTTATCAAGAAATATCTTAAAATGATTAACTTGTTTTATTTCAGATACTGAATCATCAAGTGACAATTGCAATCGATGGTTTAAACAGTTCCACATAATGATTTCAGGAAATTTTTCTAACAATTTTGTACCTATACCAGACTTTCTTCCCAGTATCAGGTTAGCACCATCAGAACAAAATGCAATTAAATTTGCTTTCAAATATTCATTTGTAAAGCCATAATCATTTAAAGTAGTCAATAATGTATTTAAAATGTACTCTGCTGTGGTTGATACTAATTCTTTTAAAGCAACAAATAATGTAACAGGTGCAGGAGCTGACTGAATTGCGCACTGGAGATAAATCACAAGGGTGCTTTTCTTTGAAACTGTAGATGCCTCATCAATTATGATACAGATTTTGGCTTTCTCTTCAATGATATTCTTAAATATCTTCATCTTCATTTCTTTTGCAATATGTTCTGCTATTCTTGTTGCACTGTAGCGGGTATTTAAACAATTGACCTCTCCATTTTTCTCCTGTAATTCTATTGCCCCTTCAATATCAGATAAAGGTCTATTATGTTTTACTAAACTGTAAACAGTATTGAAAACTTTTACAGTAGCATCAATATTTTTATTATTTTGTTTAGGCACTATATTAGAAATGGAATCATTAACTGATTCCTTTATTAAATCTTGAATTTTACCATGAGCTTTAGATATATCATGCTCCCTAATTTTTTTCCGCAAAGAAGCTTGTCTGGTAGTTTTATTACTGCCATTAGGGGTTACTAAATATGAAATCCATTCCTTGGATACATGGACATGCTTTTCTGCTTTCGATCCCAAATGCCGAACTGTTGAACAATCCTTACATCCTAATTTACCTTCTTTAATTTCAAGCCACTTATACTGTTCTGTAAACATAAATGCTTGTTTTTCATTCCAACAATCTGGAAGCATAAGATTATCTATTTCTTCCTTTGATGAACATGATGGCTTTTGTTCAATGATTGGTTGTTCAATACATTCTAAATTTGGTTCCTTTGACTTAGACAGTCCACAATGATTTTTGTTCCTATCATTACTTTCTGTGTCTGTTTTAGCCTTCTTCGCATTTAAAAAGTGCAAGATGTCACCCTGTCGTTTTGGCATTTTAGGGAATAGAACCTGAAAAATAATTTTACATGTATAAGTAAAATTCATGATAACATTTGAAAGGCTAATGTAAAATGTTCTCTTAGTAATTTATTTAAATAATTTTAAAAATAAAATTTAAACTAAAATGCTTACCTTGATGTTCAGTTTTACCTATAACTTCAATGTCACTTGCTATTTCTTGAAAAATCCACTATCAGATTTTAAAAAACGTCTATTGCCAACAACAGTATCACAAAATCTGACTATGAATGTTTCATTATGATCCAATTCAGTCAGAAACACAGGTCACATGATTTGCAAATGAGTGTAATCCAATATGAAGAGTGGGTGGTATTTTCATTTACAAAAATGAATAAGATGAAAATGAAACAATGAAGACATATATTAGACTTCCATTCATTTTTCATAGACAACATCAAATCTTTGCTGAATTAACAGTTTTCAATATCACAAGGCAATTTCCTCAATTTGTTGTGCTACACACATTTTAGCAGTTAAGAAGAGTCATATCACATTCTGAAATTTAATCTGGATTAACATTTTATCTTTTGAGTTTAGACCACCAACAAATAACAAATCAAGCCCTGATTTCTATTTTCCCAATTACCATGAGGTAAATACTCCTTTTTTGTGGTACCAGCACACTACCTAGTGTGGCATTTCTATCCAACAGACACAACAGATGCAAATAACTTCAAGTATACAGATGCTAGGATATGATGAGTTTGAGTATTAGGTTAAATGTAATGATAATGTATACCATATATTTATATACTTTAATTTTGAATAACGGCTATGTTTATAATCAACTCACGAAATTCCATAAAAATCTAACAATAGATTCTTATAATACAGTTCAAGGACCTCCAGCACACTATTACACTTACTAGAAGAACTGAAACAGAAATATAATGTGCTTACATCACTATGGTGCATGTTAGACTCTTCATCATCACCACAAACCAGATCAATGTATTCAAGAACAGGTCTCGACAGTCCTTCCTAAAAAAGAGAGTGGTAAATTTATGTCATTAACAATCAATTAAACTCACATTTACAATCAGTGGGGAGTTTTTGTTTGTTTTAGTTAAAATTTGCAAAAATTACTCTGAATAAGAAATCTTGCAAATGGCATAGAATAAACAGAAACAAAAGAGGCACAGGAAAAAGAGAGTAAATAAATATGTAATAATGACAAAAGCCAGCCACAAAGAGCTTAAATGTACACAGAGGAATAAAGCCATGTGGCTTCCTTTCGGAATGGGCAACAGTACAGAGAGAGTATTAAAAAAGACATGGATTTAATAGTACAGCATTTTAAAACTGGAACAGTTATCAATAATGTCTGAGATACCTTAAACTCAATGATTCTTCCCCCCCTTTTTTTTTTGGTTATAGATGGATAAAATACTTTTATTTTATTTATTTATTTTTATGTGATGCTGAGGATCAAACCTAATGCTTCACCCATGCTAGGCAAGTGCTCTACCACTGAGCTACAACCCCAGCCAAAATTCATGAATTTCTTCACCCACACTACCCCTAAACTGTTAAACATCAAACTAATTTTTTTCTATCCTTTCTTTACATACACAATACTTTCCTTCATAGATGAGGCCATAAATACCTCAGGTTAAAATATTAGACTTTATCCAAGGACAAAAGATCAACAAATAATGTTAAGATAGGAATATTATGAGAACTCTGTTTCAAGAAGATTGATCATATAGAAGAGTACTGAGCAAATACAAGTAAGATAATCCAAATAATCAATCCAGGAAAAGGCTAATATGGTACTAAAGTAAGGTGATGGCAAGGAGAACAATGAGGAAATATACATTTTTTTCTAAAGGCATACTATAGTTCAATAAAATTTATATCAAAGATAAGAGCTCTTTTTGTATTCCCCAATCAATTTTGTCATTCCTTTATTTCAGTATATTACGTTTAATTTGGGGCTGAATACTTAGCAGACCACAAAAAGGATGCTGTGACACAATGTAGAATAAAATCTAGGGGGGTGAAAAAAATCAAGATTTATATGAAACAACTAAGAAATAAAAATCAGAATATCAAGAAATAACATATTAACATTCTTTTCTGTATCTGTATAACCCCCAAGCAAAGAACTAAATCCAGCAGCGTATAATCCGTAATAGATAGTACTATAAAAAATATTTTTAAAAAAGAAAAAAAGCATATCCTAGTGGACTATAGGATGGTATTACAGAATAAAGTAATAGATTCTGTATCTAAATGCATTTTAAAATAGAATTAAAGTCAATTGTCTTTTTCTTGGCACCACTTAAATGCAACAGGAGGTTGCATGTAGAGCACTCATTCAGCATGCTTTGAGGTCCTGGGTTAGATCCCCACACAAAAAATAATAGTGACAATAATAATAATGCACAAATACAACAGGAATTTTTTTTAAGTACTTTCTGATATGCAATTTCCTTTACAGCATATCATTTATTTCCCATCTGAAGCCATCAAGCCTTTGATCCTCTATTTGGAACAGGATAAAATATGAGGTTCTCATCTATTCAAGACTTTTTTTGCAAAGATGCAAATGATTCTCTACATTTAAAACACATCAACCCTCCATATCCATGGGTTCCATATCTATGGATTCAACCAACCATGGATTGATAATATTTTTCATAAAATAAAACTTCTTTAATCAAAAAGTGTCCACACCAAACACATAAAGATTTTTTTCTTATCATTATTCCCCATACAATGTAACAACTACTTACATAGAATTTACATTGTATTTGTTATTATTTGAAATCTAGAGATGATTTATACCTATAGGAGATTGCGCAGAGGTTATAGGGGAATACTAGGACATTTTACATAAAGGGTTTGAGCATTCACAGATATTGGTATTAGAGAGGAGCCTAAGAACAATCCCCCACATAAGCTCAGTCATATATAAGCTCAGTCAGAACTTAAAATATAATTATTCTTCAGGGTATTACACAAACTTACACCTATTTATTTTTCAACCTTAATTGTAGATTGCTTTTGTGTTTCTCAAGTAAGGCAGACAGATCATAAAGATGATGTGTGTCATTCCTACTCAGAATTGCACAAAACATTATCAAGATCATACCATCCCAATCACTCTTGGGATAGTCAGGAAAAATCAAAATTATTTTTCCTAAAGACCCATGACATCCTCTTTCCAACTTTTTTCAGTACAAAACAAAACTATGACTCTTCGATTTCCAGTTACATCACTTAACTAATCACAAAAGTGAAGAGTAAGCATACAACTTCTCATGGTACCCTCAAATTTATAAAGGTTCTAAGTATCAAGACTAGAACACCATATTCACTATTCACGTATTTCAAGAAAGAATGCCAGGGCTAGGGTTGTGGCTCAGTGGCACAGCACTTGCCTAACATGTATGAGGCACTGGGTTCGATCCCCAGCACCACATAAAAAATAAAAATATTGTGTTCATCTATAACTAAAAAAATTATTTTAAAAGAATGCCAAAGATGGGCTGGGGTTGTAGCTCTGTGGTAGAGTGCTTGCCTAGCACAGGCATTGGGTTTGATCCTCAGCACCATATAAAAATAAATAAATAAAAGATTTGTGTTCATCTACAACTGAAAAATTATATTATTAAAAATGCCAAAGATATGATTTTGTGAACACTTTCTACATAAATCTTATAGAACAAACAATAATGTTAACTACATAATTTTCAGGGAGCAAATTTTGTTTGACTTAAAGAAATAAGTGACTTCCAAAGTCAACCTAAACTACAGCCACTAAAAACACACAAACATTAGACAGGCACTCTATTATAAAGAAAAACTATACAGACTTAATACCAAACTAACTGATCACATAACTCAGTAAAAGAACAGTTTTGAGGCAGAACTGTTTTTAGGTAGCTGAGATACTATGATAAGCAAAGCCTTTGTAAAACTTTAATAGCACTGAATGAAAATCATCCCACAATATTTATGGCATTTCCTTCCATTTTCCAAATCAATGTTTTATTAAGTGTGTTCAGAGATTCAAATGTCCTGAACTTGTTTAAAAAATGGAGATTCCTAAGCCCGACTTTGAATTTCTTTCTGACTCAGTAAATCTGGAGTTGGGCTCAAGAATTTGAAAGTTTCTACTTCCTAACACTTGAAAACTACTGCCTGTGGCAAAGGACAAAAACAGAAAAGATAGCATGCTCCTGGTGATGCAGGATTCATTATGTGCAATTGTTGCACTATGCTGTAACATGATGATCTCAGAGGTTAGTGAAGTCCTCAAGCTGAGTTCCTACACACCTTGTTTTCCACCTCTCTGCCATTAGCCCTCCCTCCTAGTCCTGTGTGTCACCTTTGAGAAGGCATTCTTGCCCCCATTTAAAATTACACAGTCTGTAAGTTTACAGAGACCAAAATTTTGTCTAGAGTAATCATAAAATGGATCCAAATGAGGGCATCGGAGGCCTCATTAAGAGCCCAACACGTTCAATAGGCCATGCTCTTTGTGATGGCTATTGTGGTGGCTCAGATACCTTCCCTGGTAAACTCCTTAATCCTACACCATGTCCCACAGTGTCCACCACCCAGAAGACATCCTTACTATTCGTTGAATGATGAATGACCAGGTCAGTAGAACTGCACAATGGCTTACACAGTCTTTTACTCTCGGAAAAGCCCGATTATCAGTAGCTACTTACACTAACAAACTGAATGTCATCTTCGTTTTCATCCGTAGTTGATTCAGACGCCTCAGGCCCAGCTGGAGGGGCAGATTCTATTATCTACAAAAATAAGCCAAAACATGCTTATCTATTCAGCCACACACTTGTAGGGAGAGATTTTTCCAAAAAGGACGACTGAGACAAAAGCTTGGACGGAAACTGAGCACAAACGCACGCAAACGCCACGAAGAACTGAGTCGAGGGAGCTCGGTTTTGCTAAGGCGTCGTGCAGCTGTAGTGAATGGCCCTCGAAAAGGAGTGACCAGGGCTCAGAAGGTCCCCACCTACTCCAGGAGCAGGGATGCAAGCTCGCTACCCAAGGGCAATCCTGACTTCAGCCGTCGCTGGGCTCCCGGGGCAGAGCGGCGGCAGCAGGAACTCGGGGCCAGTTCAGGGGCCGGGGGCGGCCGGGCGGCCATTGTTGCCGCCGGTTCCCGGCGCACGCAAGCAGCAGGCCCGAAGGCCCCGCTCCGCCCTAGATGCTGAGGCGCAGCGCCCCGAGGCTGCGGCCGAGCACAGGCCTCAACCTCACCAATCTCGAAACCCTCCGCGGTTCGGCTCCCAGAACGCGAAGGCCCAAGGCTCTGCTACTCACCTCCGACCCTGGGTCTCCCATTTCTCCAACGGCTTGACAGCACCACCACTACTGCTGTCCCTGCCGCCGCCGCGACTTCCCTTCCCACCTTGCACCGCCTCAAGGCACCACCACTGGCCACAGCGTTATCTCTAACGGGAACTCGGGTCAAGCTCAACCAGGTGCAAAACCGCCAGAGAAGGAGGAGCGGCCCTCCCTGGCCCGCTATCTCCGAAGCCTCTGGCTCTCCTTCCCCGCACCTCGCAGGATGCTGGGAGTTGTAGTTAAGCGTGGGCGCTGAGTGGGAAAGGACCTTGGGCTTCTGCGCTTGCGCCCCCTCTTTGCTGTTCCTCTCAGAGGGAATGGCTGAGGGGTTGGTGGGGGAGTTTTGTTTTTACGGACATATTTGGTCTATATAAAGATAAACGTGATTAAAATACTTCTTCGTTGTTTGTTCAGATATTGCCTTAGCAAAATTATGGCCCACCTTTTTCAATATTACCACAAAATTTTAGTAAATAGATGAAATTTATGAAAACAAATTTTAATTGAGAACATTCTTTTAAAACTTTTTCCCCCCTAGCCTTAATAGCCTAGGGCCACTTCTAGTTGAT